AAACCTAAAGCAAAAGATAACTTGATAAAGAAGAAAAATTCCTATAAAACTAAGAGTCTTCAAGGTCAATAGCTTCAACTTGTTCCCCTTTATTAGTGAATATCACAAGACCTTAGCTAAAGCCAAAAAACCATTCTTAAATAAAAATTTCAGCAAATATACTTTTTTAAGTCATCAATGATAGCCTAGGAAGCACGGATACGAATATGGTGATATGGGGATGTGGATATGGCGATATGTCAAAATTTGAAAAAGTATGATACAGGTACAGTGGGGATACATTCATAATTTTTTTTTTTTTATAATTTTAATAATGTAATATGCATGAAAATAAAACTTAAAGTAAATTAATAAATAAAGAGAGGGATTCCTATTAACCTAAAAGTGCTCAAACATTCATAAAACATTCAAAACTAAAAGCAAAAGCAAAAGCACAAGCAAATGCAAATGCAAATGCAAATTAAACATCATCCTTACATGCCAACACCAAAAAAAGAATGAGAGCAGAGAGAAGAAACGTGAGAGAGTGAGAAAGCGAGAGAGAAGTGAGAGAGACAACAAGGATACATCAATTTGACAAATTCTATTACTTAAGCTCTCACTATATTCCTCTTATGAAAGAACTAAACAAAATATTATAAGTAATATGTAACTTCGAGTATCCGATACTTCAAAATTAAGTATCCGATACTTCAAAATTAATAAAAAATTAATTAAGAAGTATCCGATACTTTTAAGAAGTATCCGATACGTATCCGCGAGTATTCGATGAGTATCGGTATCCGATAAGTATCCGATATGGATACGTCACCCTTTTTGAAGTATCCGTGCTTCATAGTTTATGAGTCTTCATGTGTTTCCTTAACTTTGGGCCCAGAAAAATGAGTTTTGAAGGGTCGCATGTCGAATTTGAGCTTGAGGATGCAATCTGGAAATTCCAGAAATTGCATCTACACTCGAGCGAAGGAGTTCTCGCTCGAGCGACCACTCTGCAAGCGTGCACTCCGCTCGAGCGACCAAAAGTCCGCTTGAGCGTGAATTACAAGCTCCCAGAAGTTTCATGTCTTTTGCAGATCGCTCGAGCGAAGGAATGTGCGCTCGAGCGACAGTTCACATTTTTGCATGTTCGCTCAAGCGAGAAAGTCTACGCTCGAGCGGAGTTTCATTTCTGCATGTCCGCTCGAGCGAGGAAACCTACGCTCGAGCGAGGGCCTAAATTTTGAAATTTGCCTAAGTGTTTCAAGGCATGTTTTGGCATCCTCATTTCATCTTAGGCATTCCTAAGCCTTAATTAAGCCTTAGTAATGAAGTTATAGATTAGAAACACACTAAGAAATGAATGTGCTAAGCTAAGAGAATGCAAGGGTGTGTGTGTTCTAAGTAATGTGATAAGAACGAATAGGAACCAACGTAATGTAAGCCAAGCCTTAATGGCCACTTGAATGTGTAATATTAAGACATGCTCGTGTTATGTATTTTGTGATTGTAGGTCAAGACTCGAGGATTGATTGACCGCTTATTGGAACCACTGTGAGTAACGTTATCGTAAAGATACATGTATATGAAATTATGTTCCAAATGAAATGTGATAAGCTATGATTTCTGATATGATATCTGTTTACATGAACGAACATCCCAAGTTTGAAATCTATTATGGCATCCATAGATAGTCCCAAGTCATGGGGGACGGCATGAAAATGCGGGTCCATGACATACAAGTTTACGAGATCTCGTTAGCCACTTTATTGTGGTGATATGTGTTTAATCGGTATCCGGAATCGATTACTCTAGTCGGAAGACGTTATGCGATATGTTCCATGGGATGTACCATTATTATGTTCTGATATGGGGATGATTATGCTATAATCTGTTTTCCGCTTATGATATGTTTGGATTTCGTTCACTAACCCCTTTACCTTAATATTATTCACTAGGCTTTAACTCACTGTTTGTATATATATATTATAGGTGAGCATTCTGGAAATCAAACCCGAAGGCCTTTGTCTGGACCTGTGTTCTGTTGTCAGCCAACCATTGTGCCTCACGTGGAGGTTCCCGAAGTATCCTGTGCTCAAGTTCTGTCATTTTTGTATATGTTTATGGCTTGATGTAATTCTGTTGGCTGTACTTAAGATACTGTAATGTGTATGGGTATAATATAACGTATGGTTGACTTATGGTTATGTATATAAAGTTTTAAATATTCTGTTTCATATAAGTCAGCATAGCTCATTAGACAACTATATTTATGTATTTGCTTCCGCTAGCCCCTTAATCTTGTTAATCTGTACAGAGGCCTTCGGTAAGCCAAGGATTATTGGCCGGTTACGATGCTAAACCTATAGGGGCGGGTTTGGGTCGTGACACGCTGGAAAATTGTTATATTGACTGTGATGCTTACTTCTTGATATAAACAATTACATACCTGTGCACCCACATGTGAACTTACTTGGAGAATGTAACATTGTATATGACCTGAACTCTTTAATATGAACTATTGTGATACATAACTCTGATGTGATTTGAGAACCGAGGAACTTAGAACAATTATAGAACTACTGACTATGCACCTAAGCGAACGAAGTATGAACGATAAAACTAATGTACCTCGTTTGAAAATGATAAGGGTAGAACTTTTATCTGATCTGGTCTGATAGAACTTTGGTTTGATGAGACCTTTGTTTAACTGATGGAACTTCTGTTTGATAACTCACGCTTTGAACTTTTATTTGATATGACTGGGTAAAACTTTCATCTGATATGACCTGGTTGAACTTTCATTAATCTGATCTGAGGAGAACTATTATCTGATTTGACTACATTATGGAGGGATTGTGAATTGTTTATGATTGAACGACAGGGCTGTGTTGCTAAGAGAACTAATCGAATGAAAATTTGAATCTTGAACACTTAGGAAGAATGTGAACCGTCAACAGCAGATTGTGTGATTATAAATGACTTTTTATCATATGCCTAAAACCGATTGGAAACACGCGAATGGGATTATGGAATTTGGTAACTTATGCTTGGGAAATATGGAAATACTGTATATATATGACATGTGATTAATTACCCGGTATTACCGTTATGACTATGAACTTGTTTGACTAGAGAACGATTGCTTTGGTGTTACTGTACTTCAAAACTGATGGAGTTTGTTGACAACAGCCTGGTTGGGTTATAAACTCTGACTATCTGGGAGTATATGTAATCAGTATGACTGCTTCTGTAGTGACACATAGTACGATTAAATCTGTGAGAACTGAAGCTGATGAATAGTATATGAATGGTTACTTCAGAATTTTGCCTACTGCTATGGGATTAATGTACAAAGTTGCCTAGTATTCCTGATGACTTTAGAATGACCTGGACTGACTGTGACGTTGAGAACCAAATTGAACAAAGACCGAATGAATGACTCGGAAATGAATGAATCTAATCTCTGTAACTTAACGGGGGAAATTACTTAAGAAATGGGAATAGTGCTGATCTATAACCCCGAAATAAGTAATGTGAGTATTAATACAGTAAAGATGTGTGCAACTGTATTTATGTTCTGTGTCACGAAATAAGTTTTGTTTCCTGAAAGGCTATATGCTGTATACTGAATGATTGATCAATCTCTGATATGTATTCGTGACTCTTAGTATTATGTGATATCTGTCACGCCCCCAAACTCACCCCTAAAAGTTCGGGCATGACCTATGCAAAAATAGTCATTTAACCTGATATATATACATAACATGAGGGCCTGAACGGAAGCATTGATATCATAGAGTAATATATAAGAAAGTATGACATCCATTGAGCTACTACTACCATGCCAGGATCACAGATATAGCATAAGACGAATAGACATAAGGGGATACACATTTGAGAGCTATATATAAACATATGCATATACAGAACCAGCCCTAAGGATAGGCGTATAACAAAAACATTAAGTACATTTTATCCTAAGTCACTAACTATGCAAGCCATCGTCTAGCAAAACACTTCAAAAATATACGGCTTCGACCAAGTGTCTAGTTAAGCTTAGGCTGGCAAAAGTGTGACGGAGGCAGGACTAGGACCGACCTCCAGGTTGGTTACCTACAGAAACAGACATAACATAGAGTGAGCCAGGCTCAGTGAACAATAGCACTTAAACGCGACAATACGCCATTAACATTGTAACACATATAAAAGCGTAAGTAATGCGGAAATCATGTAGTGAGTCTGAATCTGTACACATTTGCCGAACGACTTTATCGGTTCATAATTTCATAGATTGGCCCTTGGCCTGACGGGTTCACACGTTCACAAATTAGCCCTTGGCTTCATAGTTTCATAACTTGTGTTCATAACTTCACAAGTTGGCCCTCGGCCTCATAGATTCATACTTCACAAGTTGGCCCTCGGCCTCATCATTTCATACTTCACAAGTTGGCCCTCGGCCTCATAATTTCATACTTCACAAGTTCTTTCGATATTTTCATAACTTCACACTGTTTCTCATTTCATAATTTCACATTTCTTCCCAAGTAGCATACATGTTAAATATAACGTCAATAACAATAACACTTAGCGTGATTAAGATACATCGAGTACTATTACTCACTGTGTTGCTGCGGGGCACTAGTTCCTCCCGAAGCGTGTCCTGCACACATTCATAACCTTTAAGTTAGTTAATTCCTCTTTGTTGAATTAATTCCTCAGTCACTCCACTTCAAACAAATTTATAAACATTAATAGGTACAAAATGCAATTTCTAAAAATATCCAAGGGTCGAACACGCAAAACGGAGCGAACCATTTTTTCCGGCTTGGGCCGCACGTGCGGCTGTGAGCCCCGCACGTGCGGCAAAGACTCTCGCACGTGCCTTTTTAGCAGTGTTCAAGCTCCAAAATTGCACCATTTCCCCGCACGTGCGGCCATGACCCCCGCACGTGCGACTGGGGTTCCCGCACGTGCGGCCATGACTCCCGCACGTGCGGCGATTTGCAAAATCTGCACAGTCCGAAATTCAACAAGGTCCTATTTCTTGGAGGTATTTTAGAACCTTAAAACCTAATCATAAATTGCTAATATAAGGTCTTAAATTCATATAATTTGAAGTCAAAATACATACATCAATTAACACATCTTAGATTCTTAATGTTAAGTTCACAAATACACTCACTTTCATGAGATTTCTAGCTTTACATTCACACATAGACATATATGCATACAACTATGCCACATCATGAAATTCAAACAAGTTCATTGGAGGACTAGAGTGTATCTTCTCATAGGTACCTTAAGTTGAATCAAAACACAACCCAAATCAATTCAATACATGAGATAACAACTCCAGTAACTTCTTAGCATAACCTCTAGAGAAATTCCTCCTCTAATCAAAGAGAGGGAAAGGGGTTAATTAAAAACAAAACAAAAAGGGATAAACATACCTTGAATCAAATCTCTAATTTCCCCCAATTCCTTCCTTGAAGAACTCCTCCTCTCAAATTCTTCTCTACCCTCTCTCTCACAAGATGTTTCCTTAACTTGAGACTTCTAAGTCAAAGTTAGAACATAGATATATAGATATAAAGGTGAAAAGGACAAAATTTAATCAGTTTAAGCATTCCGAATTAAATTTTCACAGAGTCATATAATAGCTTAAAAATTATGCAGATCTCAAATGTCAAATCAGTTTCAGACTATCAAGCCTCTAAGGCTCTCAATTTCTGAGTCAAACATTCCAATTGTGACAAATCTTTTCCTTATTAAACAGATATGCATCCTAACATAGAGTTTACTTAATTTCACATGAACTTTCACAATGAGCACTTAAAAGCACAAAAGTTAGGGACAGAACAATACTAAAATCATATACGAGGGTTGGGTTATTACAATATCTGTTGGCTGTTACCCGGTATCGGAGGTTCCTTTATGGAACTTATTTCTGTCTGCACTCTGTTACCCGTACCGGAGGCCCTGTTACGGGGGCTCAGCTTCTGTTCTGTTCCCAGATTCGGAGGTTCCTTTATGGAACTGGTTATTCATAACCATCACGTGTCTGTATCTGTTCTGTATCTGCCATGTCTGTATCTATTCTGTACCTGCCATGTCTGCATATGTTCTGTATCTGCTCTGTTAGTGCTAATGAATGCACCACGTATGCTTAAGCAGACTTGTGACATCTGTGTTTGATCTGGACAAGAATATGAAAATGAGCATGTATCTGAATCTATTTCTGATTAAAATCTAGTTGTGTATAGACTCTGTTTTGATACAAACCCTAATCTCTGTATATGATTTATGATTCTGTTTCTATACGAAGCTAAGGTTGAGATTGGGTTATGAGTATATTTATGAATATGGTTATGCTTCTATTTTGTAAAGAGTTGAAATTATATATTTGTTGAACATCGATTCCTTTAAGATAACTTGAGTTTGGAGGACCAAACTTCTTAAGGCGAGGAGACTGTAATAACCCCGACCCGTAATTAGATACTAATCAGTAATTAAGGATGTTAATGAGAGAATTAAAATAAATTATGGTTTATTATGTAATTTGCATGATATTTGGCCTTATATCTGTTACTTGTAGAAACATCTGTCTGGAATTCCGCTTTTATATGAAAATTGAAGGCCTTATCGATGGCCGAATCTGAAATTGATTAGTGTTTTATGCTAATTAGAGTTTATGTGATTTTATGGTATGTTTAATTGAAATTTGATTTGGTATGATTAAAATTGGATTAAATAAAGTTGTATTACATCAATTTGAGTTATTTACCAACTTGCCATTGAGTGACCTATTCCTACACCTTTGTTAGTGACTTGCCTTTGCATTACAAACACCATCTCACCCATTTCCTCTAGAGTCAAAACCAAGAGAGAGAGAGAGACTTGAGAGAGAATTGTTTCATCTAGAGAATTGCTTGGAGAACTTGAAGAATTGAAGAGTAGATTGCATTACTGAGCTTCTAGACTTGAAATTGAGGACTCAAGGTAGGATATTCATCCTTTAAATTATGTATTCAAGTTGGTTCTTGCATGGTTCATGGTAAATTGGTGTTCTAAGTCAAGAATTGAAGTGAAGATGTGAATTTGAGAGTGAGTTCATGCATGCATGTACATATTCTTGAAATTTGAAGTTGTTTGACATGAATTTCCACATGCATGTCCATATCTTGATTATGGTTCAAGAATTCATCATGTTTTTGGAAGGATTGAGTTATTTGGCCATGTATTTGAAGCTTTGAATTTAATTGAATACATGCATGTTGTGTTTGAGCTTTGTTCTTGAAATTTATTTGAAAATTGTGTTTAATTGACTCATCCTTGGGCTTTGATTTCTCAAATTGATCTTCAAAATATGTTATACTATGAGTTTACAAGAGTTTTCCAGAAAATGGGCCCAAGAGGTCGAGTTTTGAGGTGTTGAACACTTGGTTTGAGCCTTGAAGGCAAATCTGGAAATTCCAGAATTTGGCTTCCACGCTCGAGCGAGACCTGTGTATTCAAAGGTCCGCTCGAGCGACGGAATGTTGGCTCGAGCGTGAATTGCAAGCTCTCAGGTTTTTGGTGCATGCAGGCGCACACTCGAGCGAGAGAACCTGTGCTCGAGCGAGGACTGTGTCTTACGCTCGAGCGATCGTCGAGCGAGCATCGAGCGGATATTTTCAACATCTAGCACTTTTTGCATTTTTACAGACCGCTCGAGCGAGGAAGTCCACGCTCGAGCGACCCCACTGTTTTGACAAGCTCGCTCGAGCGAGAGAACCTACGCTCGAGCGAGACGCCTGTTTTCTGAAAATTTGAAAAGTGTTTCAACTCATGTTTTGGCATCCTCATTGCACCTTAGGCATTCCTAAGCCTTAATTAAGCCATAGTAATGAGGTTATGGATTAGAAACACACTAAGGAAAGAATGTACTAAGTTAAGAGAATGCAAGTGTGTGTTTTAATCTATGTGTTAAGTAAGGACAAGAATCAAGGTAATAAGTAAGTAAGTTGTGTTGGCCTTGAGAATGTGAAATGATAAGATGTGCTTGTGTTATGTACTCTTGTGATTGTAGGTTAACGTCTGGAGATTGATTGACCGCCTACTGGAACCACTGTGAGTAACGTTATCGTAAAGATACGTTCATATGAATTATGTTCCAAATGAAATGTGATAAGCTATGATTTCTGATATGATATCTGTTTACGTGAACAAACATCTCAAGTTTGAAATCTATTATGGCATCCATAGATAGTCCCAAGTCATGGGAGACAGCATGAAAATGCGGGTCCATGACATACAAGTTTACGAGATCTCGTTAGCCACTTCATTGTGGTGATATGTGTTTAATCGGTATTCGGAACCGATTACTCTAGTCGGAAGACGTTATGTGATGTGTTCTATGGGATGTACCATTATTATGTTCTGATATGAGAATAATTATGCTATGATCTGTTTTCCGCTTATGATATGTTTGGATTTCATTCACTAACCCCTTTACCTTAATGTTATTCACTGGGCTTTAGCTCACTGTTTGTATATATATATTATAGGTGAGCATTCTGGAGACCAAGCCTGAAGGCTTTTGTCAAGAACTGTATTCTGTAGTCAGCCAACCATTGTGCCTCACGTGGAGGTTCCCGAAGTGTCCTGTATTTACTTTCTGTTGGTTCTGTTTATGTATATACGTCTTGTGTTGATCATGTTGGTTGTACTTAAGTTACTGTAATGTGTATGGGTATAATATAATGTATGGTTGACTTATGGGTATGTATATAACGATTTAAATATATTGTTCTTCATCTAAGTCAGCACAGCTCTTTAGACAATTATATTTATGTATTTGCTTCCGCTAGCCCCTTAATTTTTGTTAATCCGTCCAGAGGCCTTCGGTAATCCAAGGATTACTGGCTGGATACGATGCTAAACCTATAGGGGCGGGTTTGGGTCGTGACACTATGTTATTCATGTGGTTAGTCAGTATTTTTTGATTCAGTGTGCTTTTAGTGAAGGCATAACTGAAAGTTCCGTTTTGTTTCTGTAATTGAAGAATGACCGCCTGTTGATTGCACGAGCTTTAGTTTGAATATTGTGGATGGCCCACATGTTGACTGGCAATTTGAGAATGGTTTTATTCTGAGTTCTGAATTGAGTATTGAGTCTAAGTTTGAGTCCACCAAGTTTGTAAAGTTAGGATCACGCTCGAGTCATTCTAGTGATTCAGAGCTTGTTGATTTCGGGAGTGCTAACCTAGACATTTCTGTCATATCTAGGTCTTCTTTGTTATTTTCTTTTGAGTCTGTTATCATCGATGAGTCGTAATTCCTTTTCAAATAAAAGTGTCATAGAGTCTGCCTACTTCTCTGTTCCTTTAATTCATTGCATTGACTAAAAATTACAAAACTGTTTTCAAAAAACTCTGATAAAAAAAAACGAAAAGGAAAAAATTCCTCGGGATTTGTGAATTTTGATCAACTGAGAGGAAGAGAGGTGTGCTAAGCCCTTGATTAATAAAATCATTTCTGTTAATGTGGGTACTGAGAAGGATCTCGGCTTAGTCCAAATTGGTTGTATCTTGTCTTCGTAAGAGTACGAGTGATTAGTCACTTTGTGAAAAGATTTCAAAAAATGTTTTTGCGTGGTCCTATGAAGACATGCCTGGAATTGGTTATACAGCATAGGATCCCTCTTGACTTGAGGTCCGACCTCTGCTTTCAAATCGTGATTCAGAATATTCAATGATCAACCAAAATGTGAGGCTTGCATAGCTGAAATGGAAGCAGCCTGTCACGACCCAAACCCGCCCTATAGGTTTAGCATTGTAACCGGCCAGTAATCTTAAGATTACCTACGGCCTCTGAAACAGAATCACAAAATAAGGGGTTAGCGAAAGCAAATACATAAATAAAATTGTCCAATGAGTTATGCTGACTTATATGAGACAGAATATTTAAAATTTTTATATACATATCCAAAAGTCATTCTTACATTATATCCACACACATTGTAGCATCTCAAATACAGCCAACGAAAACAAACAACGTCTGATACACATAAACAAACAGAACTCATAATACATGACACTTCAGAAACCTTCACGTGAGGCACGATGGTTGGCTAACAAAAGGACACAGATCCAGACAAAAGCCTTTAGGCCCAATCTCCAAAATGCTCACCTATACATACATATACAAACAGTGAGCTAAAGCCCAATGAATAACATCAATGTAAAGAGGTTAGTGAACGAATTTCGAACATTTCATAATCATAAAACTGATCATAACGTAACCATCCTCATATCCGAACATAATAATGGTACATTCCATAGAACACATCACATATCATCTTCTGACTAGAGTAATCGGCTCCGGATACCGATTAAACACATATCACCACAATGAAGTGGCTAACGAGATCTCGTAATCACATATATGTCATGGACCCGCATTAACATGCAGTCCCCCATGACTTGGGACTATCTATGGATGCCATAATAGATTTCAAACATAGGGCATTTGTTCACGTAAACAAATATCATTTCAAAAATCATAACTTATCAAATCACATTTGGAACATAATTCATATGAACATATATCCAATGTTATTGTAAAGATATGTTCATATGTTATTGTAAAGATATGTTCATATGTTATTGTAAAGATATGACAGAAATGTCTAGGTTAGCACTCCCGAAATCAACAAGCTCTGAATCACTAGAATGACTCGAGCGTGATCCTAACTTTACAAACTTGGTGGACTCAAACTTAGACTCAATACTCAATTCAGAACTCAGAATAAAACCATTCTCAAATTGCCAGTCAACATGTGGGCCATCCACAATATTCAAACTAAAGCTCGTGCAATCAACAGGCGGTCATTCTTCAATTACAGAAACAAAACGGAACTTTCAGTTATGCCTTCACTAAAAGCACACTGAATCAAAAAATAATTTCACAAAATTAAACCAACATAGTGTCACGACCCAAACCCGGCCCTATGGGTTTAGCACCGTAACCGGCCAGTAATCCAAGATTACCGAAGGCCTGCAGAACAGTAGTACAGTAAAACAGAGTACAGGGCCTGGCGGAAGCCAAAACAGTAAATAAACAATATGCATACACTCCATTAAGCCGTGTCAGTCTGTATGCCAAAAAGATTTTTCATGCATCTCACATATACAAACAAGTACAGTCTATACAAATTTACATTCACACAGTACAGGGACCAAATCCTTGATAACAGTACAGTTAGCAGTTAACAGTCTATACAGTAAAACCAGACAGTACGGAGACAGACGGGAAAAAAACGAGACACCCCAAAAGCCATAGCATGGCAACTCGAAACCTCTCAGTGAGGCACGAAGGCTGGCTTGACAAAATGGAGGTCTAACCCACGCTCCTAGCTCCGATCTGGTGGCTGAGCGACCTATATATATATATTATAAACAGTGAGCTAAATCCCAGTGAATAAACATATGCGTAAAGGGGTTATGAATGAAATGTCCTTACAATAATGAAATCAGTTCATTAAACAATACTTCCGTCTTTTAGTCAGAACAGTTATTCAGTCATATTTGGTACATCCATTAGCATAGCAGTAAACAGTAGGTCTTAAGACCGAGCAGTAATGATGGCCATCAATCAGTAAACAGTAGTGGTTCCACGAGGGAAACCGACAGAGAATCTCTGTACGTAACAGTAAACAGTAGGTGCTAAGGATGCCACAATACAGTTCAAGAAGATTAGTACATACATTCATTCAAGTAAACCAATATCAGTTTATAAAACAGCGCAAGTTCAGTATTCAGAAGATCATTTGAACATATTTTACCAATTGTTTACTCACAGAGTTTGGGCTACAGTATGC